TGTGTGACTTACTTTGAGCCCATCTGGATAATCCAGGATAATCTCCCTATTTTAACACCAGCTAATTAGCAACTCTAACCCTCCTCTGCCTTGTGACCTAATATATTCATAGATTGCAGAGACATGGGCATCTTTAGGAACCCGTCATTCTGCCTACCACACCGCAGGCATTCCATTTCCATTTGCCAACTTGAATTTTCCCGAAGCACTGTAGCTCTCTTACCGTTTTCCAATGCTGGAAAAAGAAGCTCTTGGGGAATAACAGTGTAAAATTACTGAGAGCAGTATCTTGCATTTCAGTGTTTAACCATGAGCTTTGACTCTCCTGGGATGACTCACACTCAGAGAAAGCCGTGGCTGCAGCTGGGACAGCCCTGCCATGCAGCCCTCTGCTCCTGGATACACACGGCCTTGGGTTCCCGACTTGCGTTCTGGTAAACTGATGCCATGGAACATGGAACATGGAACCAGACTGTGGCCACCAGGATAAATACCCAGACTCCCCACCAGCCACGTTGACTAGAAGAAGGGCCTTCTCCTTGGAATTTTGAGAAGCTAAACCCTCTTCCAAAATCACTCTAATGACCTTTGAATTGTTAAAATCGTCCAAGGCACTAAGCGATAAAGTTTTTTTTTAACACACAAAAATGAACAGTTAAATGGGTAAATTATAGTAGCCTAATCTTTTCATGCCATTCCTAAGGAATGACAGGTTGGTTGTTTGAATGTTGGGAACTTCCCTGCCTGGTATCAGAAGCTGTAACCCCCACCAAGGCTAAGGCTGAGGGAATGACCTTGGACCACAAGCCACCAAGGAAACAAAAGCTTATCTCCCTGGCAGGAGCACCGCTTCTGCTCCTTTTACTTCACCCTGCCTGGCCCCCAATGCTTGGTCGGTTAGCCAATGACGGGTAAGATTCCCCAAGGGGGTGACAACTTAAGACAGGCACAATCAGGTGGGAGGCCCCCAAGGAAGGTCTTTGGGGGTTACAGCAAAAGGGGGTGATGGATCCTTGCCCCTCAACTTTGACAAAGCCTGAGTCCTCATTGTCTGGGAGAAAATCTCCTAATCTCTTGGCTGCCTTACTTCCCTTGCTCCACCTAAGCCTGAAACAATGGCAGAAGGTGGTGCCGCTCTGTGCTGAAAAGGGTGGATTCCCCGGGTGATCAGGCCTAAGAAAGAATATGTAAACTCCTGTGAAACCTGCTTTGTTTAGAATGGTCTCAATTGAATGATAAGGGTCCAAGGAAGAAGTAAGTTTGTTCCTCAAAGTTTTACAGCTCTTTAGCTACCTGACTGTGACTCAAAATAGGCCCTCAGACTTCCTTGTTATCTATTGTTTGAGTAATGAGCTTTACCTGAATTCTTATGCAAACGAACCCATTAAGCCTGCTTGGGCGGGAGAACAGGGCGTTCTCCGCTAGGGTGGGTGGCCATGGCGCTCCCCACTAGAGAGAGTGGCCATTTTGCCACAGGACTCGGTTGTCTCTGTGTATGTTTTTCTCGAGTTTTGACAAGCCATCCGCAGCGTTCCACGGTCACTGCCGGTCGGTGGCCGCGACATTTGAACAGCTATACAATGCGTAAGCTCTAAAGACTATGAATCCATACAATCTGTCCATAAAGTATCCAGCCATGCAATAAGAAAAATAGAGACATTTATTGAAGAAGATGTAAGACACAAGAAACATTGTACATAGGACAATGACCCCTTAGTCTCCTTCAAAGCTGTAGCCTTCTTGAGGAAATCTCGTACACTGGTAGCAGTTTGGATCAAGTCATCATCAGCAACTATATTTCTTCTGCTCTGGCAGCAGAGGCTGCGGAGTGAATTTTGCCACAACACGTTTCATGCCGAAATCCTCTGTCAAAATCTTGGACACAGTAATATTTGGAATCCCCAGTTCAGCTTCTAGTGCTCACACTGTCAGTCACTGATTTTTGTTGATTGCAGCCCATACATGTTCAATATTTTCAGGTGTTCTGCTTGTTGCAGGCCTTCTAGAATGTGGATCACTTTCAACAGATTCTCAACCATCTTTGAAATATTTGTGTCACGTTTTTATTTGCACTGCACTCACTGCATCCTCCCCAAAGCCTTCTGAATCATCTGAATAGTTTTTGGGAGGAATGTTCAAGCCTAACTCAAAATTTAATACAGATTCATTGCTCTACTCATTCAATCATTTTGAATATGATGGCCACACAGTACACATGCTCACCCAATGGGGTCTACCACTCCCACTGACTTGGACAGTAAAGTCATCATTGTTCACACATGCGCATTCCAGTCCACTCTCCTTGACTGCCAGATTACATCAGTGTCATGCAAACCGTTCTCATTATATTAGCAATGGCTGGACTTTTTCTGGACAGATCTCATATATGTGTGTATGTGTATACATATATATAGCATATATGTACATATGTACTAATATATACATATTAGTTTGCTTGAGTGTCCCTTTGTGAATATATTCTATACACAACTTCTCACAAGAACTCATGGTTAAAGAGAATTATTATATCTCAATCAGAACCACAGACAGTAAGAAATCTAAATGACTGCCTGAAGGCCGATACAAACTGAATCTAAATACAAAACCAAGTAAAAGTATCTAATTTGAATTTATACCTGAATTTTGATAGACAAAGTCTATTCGTGATGATCATCATTTAAAAGAGACATGCCCAGTGATCAGATGCTAAATTATGAAGTATATGACAGGTTAAGAGAGTCAAAGTGGCTCTACCACAGCTTCTCGTCACACGGAGGTTATGAGAAATATATTGCTTTATGGGAGTCTTATTTGTCAGCACACAGTAAGCAATGCCAATGTGAGAAGCAGTCATCGCTCATGGATTAACCGACACCTTCACTTTCTCTCCTTCTCCACAGCCGACCCCCTACTCTGCTCCCCTGCACACTGTAGCTGATCCCAAAGTGCTTCTGAGAACTGTTCAGAGTTCCTGCGGCTCTGCTGGGGTCTCCGTCAGTATTTTAGCTCAACACTGCTCCTTGGTGACATTGAAGTGGGCCAACTCTAAGTGAGGTCTGATTGGGGAAGGGGATATTGTAGTGACCTAAGAGGAATTTTGTTCACAGAGCCCCTAAAAGAATTCTGGAAACCTAAGCACATATTTTAGTATGTCTAAACATTTTAGCGTAAGTTTAAACACTTGAAAAAGGGACATGATTTCTAACACCCTGATATATATATATATGTATGTATGTATGTATGTATGTATATATGTATGTATATATGTATGTATATATGTATGTATATATGTATGTATATATGTATATAACATATATATGTGTATATATATAACATCAGGGCTGTGATTTCACTCACTCAATCTATAGCATGTATGCTGTACATCATAACTGGCAGGGCCAATCAACCCAATACACCTTCCTGTCAAAACAAGCCTGACTTCATTTTTCAATCAAATATGAAGACAGTCTTGGTAAAAAAATCATCTAGCTTCTGAATGCTAAAAGGAACAGGTAAACACGACACAGAGCTTTGTCACGTGCTCACCCTTTGGACAGATGGATGAGCACATGACAAAGCAAAAAAGAACTGGCAGGTATTACCTATATTCAGAGGGAGATCAACTTCAAAAAAGACATGGAAGTTGAAGATTTGAATAATGAAACCCCTGAAACCCTGGGAGGTCTTGGGTATGCCCTGTGCCCTGGACTACAAGCCCAATTTGGAGACTGTGGAAAAAAGGAACTTTTAAGTTCCTCTCTGAATGTATCTAATGTGACACAGATATAAGGTGGTTTTTCTAAACAAAAACTCTGCGACTGCATTTTTCTCTTTTGAAGGATCTAAAACCTTTGGAAATATCTTAAAGCAAATATCAGCTTCTCTTCAACAAAATGGAGTGTCAACGATTAGAGATGACCATCTGGCTTGTGTAGCCAACCTGGTATGTAATCTTGGACAGACAGTTCCGGCATCCCAGGACTTGGTTCAGCGTCTTCTGTAGTCCTTAGCATGGGTTGCTTTTGTTTGAACCCTCTGCCCAGACTTTGTTGGTCATCTTTTAGTGTGGCCATCCTTGAGGTCATCTTTTAGTGTGGCCATTTGTTAGGGTTTATTGGACCCAGAGTAAATTAGCCACCTTTCATTCTGAAGTTCCTACATTCCACCCCATGTCATTCCTGGGCCTTATGTTCATGTTCCGATTCTCTGGCCCTTTTAGTGCCAGAAGTGAGTATGTTAAAAAAACAAACAAACAAACAAACAAACAATAACACAAAAAAAACAAACAAAAACTGCAGTTGCCAAGGCTATCATGTTGTGCCAAAAGAGGATCTGTTTATGCAAACTAATGCAAACTTTACATGGGATGGTAGGAAGCTGGGGTGTAAAGTTGCACTGGAAATGCATTTTGAAAATCTCTATCTCCTAATGTTTCTGGGTAAAAGGAAGTAAGGAAATTACTGACAATGGGCCAAAAATAAAGAAAAACAAAAATAAAAATAACCAGATGCAAAAAAGACAACTTTATTAGGTGCTTTCTCTTCTTTGTGTGGAGGATTTTGGTCCTTGCAGAGGAAGCTCCAAGTAATTCGACAGTACCCAGTTTCCACAGTTGCTGCAACTTGATCCCACGATGGGCACTCTGGAAAGCACCTTGGGAGCCAGTGAGTTGGAGGCCCCTCATGATCAAGGTCGTCCAATCCATTTATTAAGTTGGGCATCCTTCTGTGTCACCTCTTAGAAGCATATGTGTTCCCTTCCAAACAGCCCACAACCTGGCTGCACCCCACCTCCACTTGAACCACAGCAACCAGGTAATGTGGGTGGTACTGAGGGGCTGCCGAGGCGGGTAGGCAGGCCTTTAGGCGCAATCACTGGGGAAAAGGCGAGGACCAGAGTGGATGGATGCTAGAGGCGCGTGCCCACAGGCACTGGAGCGCTCACAAATATTCTCAGGCTAAAGTGCAGGGCGCACGGGGAAAGGGAGAGGACAGCCTTACCAGATCTATGAACGTCAGGAATTTCCAGCTCCCTCCGTAGGTCTGATGCGAGGGCATTTCGATGGCCTTGTAGTTGCACAGGATGGAGCAGTAGGACAGCAGTATCGCCACCCGCAGCACCTGACAGGGTACAAGCGCCATGTTCGCCAGAGGCCTGGGCTGGCTGGGCGGAGACGAGGAGGGGCGGGTGCGGGAGGCAATAGGTGCGCGCGGTGGGAGGCCGGGCGCACAGGGCCGAGGGGCGGGACGGCGCTGAACGGAGCGCGCCCCGCTGGATCCGCGACAGCGAGTGCCTAGGCGACCTACGCGGGCGCTAACGGTGGCCGCGGCCGGGCAGGCGGCGTGGCGTCAGCTCTTTCGTCATCTCCGTCATTCTGTTCCAGTGTTTTCGGGCCCCGGGAGACCCGGCCCGAGGCGCCCCCTAGGCTTCCGAGGAGTGGCGGGGCCTGTTGGCTGGGCTGGGCTGGGCTGGGCTGGGCTGGGTGGGTGGGTGGGGTTATCCCCGAGGTCGCGTAGGGCTCGGAAAGGGAACGCCTTCCGACCTCTAGGGGCTGCTGCGGGTGACAATAACGGGGCGGGGCGGAAAGTTGGGAACCCTGCCCTGCAGAAGATGACTCCAGCGTCGACCAAGTGTTCCAGCCGCGGGATTTCGGGGGAGCGGGGTCCCTGGGGTTTGTACCTCTTGGATAAATAGGGTGGTTGGTGCTGTGGAACCCGTGGGCTGTCAGCGTGAGCACGGGTAGAGTGACTGCTTTATTTTGGACCAATTGGATTTTGTGTTAGACTAATTACTGTTCATTACGAAATTCCCTTGTAAGTTCTATCCCAGTAGATAGATTTCCTTGCTCTTTCCACAGGAGGTTTATAAATATCTTGTTAATATATAAGAATACAGACTGTGAACTTTGAAAGAAGTTTATAAATAAAAGGTTATAAAGAAAGAGTGAGATAACTGTTTATGCTACAAGATTACATTCTGCTTAAAAACAGATCATTTGAAGTTTGGATATAAAACTCGTGTGTGTAACTTAACACTAATCTTTTCAGGGTTAAACTGGTTTTGCCCTTTTACTTATTTATTTTTTCCTACACTACACATCCAGGGCTTAATGGAAGGAAAATAAATATAAACTGGATGCCCTTTGCCTTCCAGGAAATGTTGTCACATTGGAGTTTCATCAGTCTTTGGGCAACATGATCACATTTTAGCCAACCAGAAGCAGAGGCAAATTATGAAAAGACAACATAGGTATTTCCTGCGGATCTATTTAAAACAGGTGTCTTCTCCAAATAGTCTCGGAGTCAGAGACTTGTGGAGGGAGGGGCCAGGGAAAGCAAAGTGAAAGAGAAAGGAGCACCTCACCAAGGTTTGCCCGAAGTTTTCCAATCGAGCTCCAAACCAGAATTAAGAAATCCAGTAGATTTTTTAAATTGGCCTTATAATTATGCTAGTAGAAATGATGTCACAAAAATATTGAGATAATTCCAAAAAGATTCTACCAGCCTAAAACTATTTGTTATTGATGATTTGTAGCTTTCTCTTCATGTACAGTTGGATTTAATTTTTTTAACTGTGTGTCCATGCTACATGTTCATAAGATTGCAATTTAAAAGTAGATTTGAAGATCTGACTTGTTAAGTCCCTGATAAAATTGTATGTATTCATGGAATATCCTTTTAGTTTGATATGACTTCCTACCTTACAATTTAAAAAATATTTTTTAAGATTTTATTTATTTTTAGAGAGGGAAGACAGGGAGAAAGAGAGAGAGAGAGAAACATCAATGTGCGGTTGCTGGGGGCCGTGGCCTGCAACCCAGGCATGTGCCCTGACTGAGAATCGAACCTGTGATGCTTTGGTTCGCAGTCCGAACTCAATCCACTGAGCTACGCCAGCCAGGGCAATTTAAAAAATCTTTAATAAGACTTCTTGACCCCATCATTAAAAACCATAAAAATATTTTCATAAAGCCACATAAAATTTTTTTCTGTGGTCAGTTTCTTTTTAAATAAATAACTATAGCACTCAAAGAAGTGTTTTGAATCTATTTCAATGGGGTTGCCTTTGTTACCTGTGATTGCATAGCCATGGTAAGACAGAGTTTTGTGTGGGGGGCGGGAGGGGGGGGTTAGTGAAATATTTACATAAACCTGACTCAAATATTTTACGGAGAATGTCAGTCCACAATTTTGGGAACTTCTTGATAACTATGTATTAATATGTCCAGGTTGTTCATTTTACTTTTTATATACTATCTAATCTTAATTATGTTTCAAGGTATTCTTAGTGAAAACAGTATTAATCTAGACATGGACTGCATTTTTACAGTGCAAATAATACAATAGGATATTGCTTTTAAAACTTCATTAAAAAGTCATCCTTTTTATGAACTGCAGTACATTATTCACTGATAAATATTTACATGATGATTCCATATTTGAGTTAAAGAATACATTGTGAGGGGAAATGTCTACATGTCACTTGTTTATCTTTTTCATCCCACCACAGAGTTAGTGGGGGTGGAAGAGAATAGTCTTATCCCCGTGAGTTTCATGGAAACATGTTTCCCAAGGGAATATTTCAAGACCCTGTTTTAGCTTCTACTTATATTAGTGGGGTTTTTTTTTATTGTTATAGCCCTTACTCTTACATAGTCTGTATATGGGCTGAAAGTATACTTCCTTGAGTAATGCTAAAAAATGATACTCTTTCTTTTTTTTTGTTGAGGGGGAGGGTGTCTGACATGTTAATGATGATATCCTCCCTAGTTTGGGAAATGACAGGATCCCCTGTGTCTCCCTTATGTTGTATTCCAAGAAGCCAACTTCATATAGCCACAGGTCTTTGCTTAAAAATGTGGGAGGAAGAATTGTTTGTGTGTATCCTTACAATATCCTATGTTTATGTATTTCCTTTGATTATCTATTTACATTAGATAAGCATTTCCTAACAATATCAATATATTTGAGCAAATCATTTTTTCCCCTTCACGTTTGTCTGCATTACAGGGCAGAAGTTGGGATGTGTTCCTTTGAGAGGTTTGGGCATCAGAAAGACTCCTGTGGTGTCACAAAAAATACAGCTTTGAGTGTTTATTTTTCTTCATTATACAAGTAGCATATTTATGATATTAAAATAGGAAAGCCTCTCACCAACCAGAGAAAACACCACAAACATTTCAGCATACACCTGCAAGTCTTTTTACAGTATATAGGGGTGGAGAAAAGTATACCCCAAACAAGGTTTGTTCTTGTATTAGCACTTATTATTATTATTATTATTATTATTATTATTATTATTATTATTATTAAACTACTTTGGCCCACCCTTATTTACTTAACTTGTTGTGATATACTATGTAACAATTTGCACCATGCAGATTTCTTTTGCTTTATATTTAATAAGAGTGTTCTGTAATTATTTAAAACTCTTTGTAAAATTATGTTTAATGATTACATAACATGTCATAATATGAACATATGTTTTGCTGAAACTTTTCTGTTTTTAGATATTTAGCTTGTTTCCAGCTTTTCATTGCTTACTAAATACACTGTAGTGTCTTGAGCTGAGAAGGTCATTCTTTTAAGGATTACTTGTAGCTTAACAAGTAATTAAAAAACCACCCTTTTATAACCTAATGTGTATATGCTTCACTTGTGTTTATATGAATTGAGCCAAGCAGAGCTCTTTTACCATAGCAGGCAGTTTGGAAAGATTAAGATTTAAGTGAAAGAAATAGGTCAAAATCATTCTTTTTTCCAACGCCTTATGCTCATTGCAGATTTTTAAAATTGCCTCAGGTATGAAGCATAGTGCCAATGCATTTAATTAGTCAGGGTTTTTTGGTGTGTTTTTTGTTTCTGTTTTTGGTTTTTTTGCTATTACCAGGAAGGGCTGTTACTTACAGGCCAGTGAGCAGCACCTGCCAGCAGTGGTGCTCCTGCTGCTGGTCGCAGCCGTTTCTGCTGACTTACAAATGGACCATATTTGCTATAGGGACATCTGCTTGGTGAGGAGATTCCTACGTACCAGGGATTCTGTGGAGAGTCGCAGAAAAGTTTTAGAGAAAATAGTGTGGAGATCAGAAGTGAGTCACCAAGTACAGCTCATACAGGTCTGAAACATCCTTCCATTCCCCTGAAACTTTCTGTGTGTTAGCCCATGCTGTGTGTCCTGCTTGAACTCTGTGTGCGCGTGTGCGTACGCACGTGAACATATCTAGACCCAGCAAAGGATGTGGTCTTCCTGCTCTGAATGATCCATGTGGATGGCTTGCTGGTGATTCAAATTCTTTTTTTTTTTAAGGTTTCATTTCTTTTTAGAGAGAGGGTGAAGGTGGGAGAAAATGAGGGAGAGAAACATCATGTGTGTTTGCCTCTCACTCACCCCCGCTGGGGAACTAGCCCACAATACAGCCATGTGCCCTGACTGGGAATCAAACCAGTAAACATTTGGTTTGCAGGCTGGCACTCAATCCACTGAGCCACACCAGGCAGAGCTGATGATTCAACTTCTACATGTACTCATTGAACTCGTTATTTCCTCCCCCAAAACGGCCCCTTCTGCAGTGTCTCCAGTCTCTGGAAGAGTCTCCACTCTGCTGTGTTTGAAATGTTGGACAGAGCTAGATGGCCTGGGAGTGTCAGACTTTTAAGGTGCTAAAATATCCCTGGAAGTGTGGCACGCTGAAGGTAATCCCCTGACCAAAATTCTTCTCAAGAAGGAGACTGTGTGTTTTAAATAAAAGAAACATGTTTGTATGCTACTTTGCTGGGTGGGGTAACTGGTGAAAAGAGACCTCCTAAAACATTAGAGAATGACATAAATTGTTGCTAAATGTCTTCTCCCCAGTGGGTGTCAGGGTAATCGCAGAGTTTCTGTTTTCTTGAGTAGAGTCTATACATGAGTTTGGTACTAAAACTCATTTGCTCTGGGTAGTAGAGAAAAGGTGGGCCGCCACCACCACCACCAGGGGGCCTTTCCCACAGCCTTCAGCCTCTAGCCTCTAGCCTAATAAATGTTAAACAGATAGATAATCAAAAGGTATGTCAGAGGTCTTAACAGCAAATCCTTCAGAAAACAGGCATGCATTATAGCTAAGTAAAGCCAGAAGTAAGGGAAGGGGCATGGCTGGGTCTATAGCAAACTAACACAAATGCATTTTAATTCCAATTTTTAAAAATTGTTCCAGGCGAAAAGAAAGAAACACAACTGTGCTACAGTCAGCTGCAGGTGGAAACTTTTGGATTATCCTTTTGAAAGAGTGTTATGTTAACACCTTACCTACAGTGTCTAAAGGGCCCCATCACTCACTTGTCGTCATCATCATCGGCAAGAGTGAAGATGGCTTTGGTTGAAGCTGATGACCCTATTCCTGGAAGTAGGATGGAGGAAATCATGAAGCCAGGTCAAAAGGGCACACGTACACTGTCCCTGAAGGAAAGTTTGCAGAAGAACCTG